ACGTATGTATGAGTATTATATTTAAATGTTTTTCGTTCGTTTGCTAACGAGTTTTTCACGTTATTGTTAGACACACGTACGCACACTCACATGCAAACACTGTCATCTACGAGCACACAAGATTTTCATATTTAAAAGCGCTGCTAGAAAACGCTTGAAACATATGGCGCGTGAGCATTCTCCTACAAACACTCATATACATGTGTACATATGTATATGTATGTATGTATCTATACATATGCACATATAAATAAAATATATTATTTGTGTGTGTGTGTTTATTGAATTATGTCATAAACAATTTGTCTTTGGCATTCAATAGAAGTTCAATTTACTTGACGCAAACGTGGCGTATGAAAAAAATGTAGCATTATTATTAAAAGCTCTTTTGGGTGAACAGGAAATGCAAAAGTTGCCCCAGAACTGTCTACTGAATGTTTGTGTTTGTGTGCCTATGTAAATTTGTGTGTTAGTGGACAGCAATTTTCCGAGGCTTGCATGAAAACCTAGTGCCCTAATAAGCGCCAACGAGAAGATAACCAATGGGAGAGACAGAGTGAGTGAGCGAGAGAGGTAGAGCGACACTAACGCAAAGAGAGCGAATCGGGGTAGCAGCACGAGAGGCCAACCGATAGGCGCGAGAGCGAGAGTGTGTGAGCGTGAGCATTAGAGATGAGAGCTAGCCCTCGAGAGGCGACTTAAGCGTAGATGGCGCAAAATATAATTGAAATAAATTATAAAACAAGCCAACCACAACGCAATTTGAATGTAATGCAAAATGTTCGCCTGACTACAGGTATAAGAATTCGACATTGTGGACATCGAAATCCGTGCGAATTAAAACAGATACGCAGCAGCAGAACACACACATATACACACACACTAATAGAATAATAAATAAAAATGTGCTCAGATAGAGGCACGTGTACGTGGCATACGCATATTTGTGTAAATTCAGAATGTTCGTTAGCTGTGGGACAACAAGACCTTGGGGCTTGCGTGCAACTGGGCTGATAAGTTCTTGCAACAATGGCTGAAATAAATATTATCATTACATTGCCTAAAGCATTGCTTGCGTGCAATCTGTAATCTGCAAGCTCTAAGCTCCTATTACAAAGTATTTGCAGTATTAGGATAATAGTATTATTTCATATTTTAATCTACTTCAAATCCATTTGTAATTGCTAAATCAAAATTGGGCTATCGATTAATAAAATTAATTGTGTATACATATCGCTAGCCAATCGATCGAGTCGCGAGTACTAAATATGCCGATGCATCGATACTTGTTCCTTTATTCAAATACTTTGGTATTTAAACAGCTCTAGGAAGCGAAATTCAAGTCAACTTCAAATTAAGGTGTTCGGGAAACAAGCATCTTCAGGCTGTTACACTTTTGCTGCATGCTGCGTCCAAAGAGAGGGCATTCCATTGCGCAGGTCCGAAATTCGCAAATGGCAACGGCAACGGTATCGTCTGTCGACCAATTTCTGTGTTAGAACCAAACGTGAGGCGAAGACGAGCACGCAAAGGCAACGCGTGACGCATACGCAAAGCAAAGCATCGCAAAGCCAAAGCCAGAGCCAAAAAAAAAAACTGTGAAAAAAATAAAAATACTTATATGTGTGTACATATGCACGACAATAAATATACATGTATGTACATATATAAATACATATGTATATATACATTTTAAAAAATTATAGTAGTTACAGTTGAGCTTTTGACATAACATAAATATAAACACAAACGCACACACACATCCATACATACATATACATATGTATGTACATGCAGTGGTAATGCAGTATTGGTTGCACTCGTCCTCGATTC